TATTCGACAACCAGAGACGCATAGAATTTTAGGTAAATCAGATTCTAGATTTGTTTGTTTTTCGTGTGCAAATTCATAATTGCAAGCACGTTGCAGTGGAAACATATAGTATGTCAAATCACTATGTTTATACATGTAATATATTTTAGAGATTTAGAGCATTCCAGGTCATAACTTCTCATTCATTTTATCATCATCATCACAAAAATGTCTCTTTGTTTCATCTTTGAATGTTTCATTTTTTTTCTGCTTTAGACCACACCAATTTAATTTCTTGGTTCACGGATTTTTCTAGAAAAAATAATGGAGCGGGCGGGCGAAAAAAAAGAAAAATAGAAACAGGCCTAGGCATCCTATTATGGCCTAAATGGTATGATAGGAACCATGAAGTCAACACACCAGGCTGGTTCAAAATTTAAACAATGAATTTTGAACTTTTAATGATACTACTGCATTGAAAGATGGAATAACTGTAACAACCAGGAAGAAAAGGACTGTTTTCAACTGTTCAGGGCAAAATATGAGGCTGAGAGCATTTTGCAGTTGATTCTGATTCCTGAATTTTTATTTTTATTTGCAAATCAGAAAAAAATGAAGTGGGCGAATCCGTTAACCAAAAAATTAAATTGGTGTGGCCTTAAGTTAAATAAATGCTTGCTTCATCATGTTGATTGTCATTTCTTCATGCAATTTAGGATACTTAAGTAATTTCTTTTTCAGAAAGGACTTTAAAAAGGGAAAATCATAAATAAATACAGTTTTGTGGTACTTTTGAACAGATTATATTCTGGACTTTCCTTGAAAGTTACAAACCTTGAAGTTGGTACTCTTATTGTTCCAAATCATAGTTATTTTTGTATTATTTTGTAATCAGAAAGCAATTTTGTCAGATACCAACAAATGCCAAATCTTGACTGTGCATGTATATCTTCACCAGTAAACATTACAGCTAGAATTCATGATCATTATGAAATGTCTTCTCATTTTATCTTAAAGTAATTTTAATTTTGAATGCTTTTATTTGCCTAATCATTGTTAATTGTTGCTTTATCGATTGTTTTCGTGTCACCATATAGATTTGTTCCTTCACATGAAGGACAATTGTCATTATGATAATAGAAATGGTTTTAAAAGGGTGGATGTTGATCATATAATGAAGATATCAGGGAAAACAGTTTGATCACAAATGCTGTTGAAAATATTTCCCATTGCTATACAGAATAAAACAACAGACAATTATTAAAAGTGCTCTCCTCAATAGGAAAATGTACTGTGTTCTCCGTCATATTTGCAATAAAATATTAGTCACAACCTTAAACTAGGTATTAGTTTGGAATGTGAACTCTTTCAGAAATGACAACAAAGAGCAGGGAGGGCTTTGCTAAGTTTCAACAATCATTTAGAACAAAAAATTCAGAGGATCGCAAACATGCCCTTTCCCAACATCTTTCGTTGTCATTTTTAAGGGTCTGCATAGGAAGTCCCGATCACGCTTAGCATGCTAAATTTTGTAAGGCAGCGACCACGATTTACACTTTATATTAAATCAGAGTTGTTCGATTTTGAATTATGCAAATAGCAAGGTGCAAAATTCGGCAGAGCATGTATTACTCTTAATTTAATTGTACAGGTTGGACGTTTTATTACACAGATTACGTTTAACGGTGAATAGAACGACCTGGCTTCGCATTATGCAAAATTAAAATGGTTGATTACGCATTGCGGCATGCAGACCACATTTTTGAAAGAGTTCATAAATGAAAGTAGACTCACAGTCAAGTCCGATGTTCTCTTGTCTCATAGATAGGTGTCAGGTCCCTCAGAAACACTTGTCAGGCAAATCCTCCTAGAATTTGACTAGGAACACACGCAGGTCCTCCAAGAATATGGACAGGAACATGGGATAGCTGACAAGCCCCACAATGTCAAGCCTACGGTGTAAAAGAAATGCACATTTAAGATCACTGGCTAAATAATAACAATACGCACAGTATCAATTCATACATTGCAATTCGTCAAAACATGATTTGGGTCAGGGACAAGTAGTTTTTATGCTTTTGTTTTAGTAGTGAACATTCAAGAAAAGGTACACATAGAAAATCACACGAAATACATATCACAATTTACATAAAATAACACATCAAAACAATCAGTATGGCAGAATATTAAAGAAAGTGTCATCATACTATCATAGCCAATGACAATGCAATGCATTTCAAATATCAGTTCAACAACATTCAAGCACAGGTCATATTGATGGAATATTATGGGAAAAGTTGGCATACATATAAGCCCTGCTGAAATGAAACAGTAAAAGGTGAATAAACTATTAAAAACTACCATAAAATGCTTTGAAAACGGCTCTTAAAAAAGCGGTCCCCTTCACGGCCGCTTTGCGCTTTACAGGCTTAAACCTTCTCTCCAAGCAGAGGTTTGGGGTTCTTTTGGCGTGTTTTAGGCTTTATTATCGGGGTTTCTCTTTTGCACTGGACCCGTGCAAAAGAGAACCCCAATAAAAAAAGTAAAAAAAGTACACCAAAAATGACCCCGAGCCCAAACCTCTGCTTGGAGAGTAGCTTAAACCCTGGGAACCGTCGGCGCTACACATAATTCACGCTTTCTATGTTTTAGTTTCACTTCATTGCAATACGTTCAGTCCAAATAGTAACAACTACATAGAGTTTAAATAGTGCGACCCACCGCCTAAAATGTCTTGTGGTGAAAAAATGCACTCGATCAACTAGGTGTTTGGGTAGTAGAGTGTGGTGACTACATGTTCGGAGAAGTTACATGCCCCAAGACGTCCAAAGTGCTGGAAAAAAGGTTTCTAAAATGGTTGGAACTAAAATTTGACCACAGTGAAGATAGTTACAAGTGTTGAAAGTGTGACAATACTGTGCAATTCATAGCAGAGTTGGAAGGTAAGGATAGAAATGTAGGTGTGTGTGTTGGAAATGGTTGTGTTGCTACACAAATAAACTATTCTCACAACTATCCCAGACTGTGTCTTCTGTCACTGCTTAACTGGTAGAAGTCTGCTCCTTCTTTCCTTCCATATAGAATCTGCCATGAATCATGTAGAGAGAGGAAAAAAAGTCAATATACTGGGACAGATTATTCACACGTTTACCTTAGTTTGAATTAGTAAAAACTTTCCTTTCAGTATACATACATACAGTATCATACTGTGAACACATACAATGTAATTCACCGACTTTCTTTTTGCTGCACCTGCTGCCAACGCAAACATACATGACATATAATAAATAGTTCATGTCCATTTCTCTCACACCGTAAAGTTTCACTGCCGCAAACATAAAGTGATTTACAGTAACCAGGCCTGCTTCTACACAGTACAGACAATTAAGTCTTACCACACATTTACATGACGGAAATGAAATCGTAAAAATTCCACCTCAAAATTGAGTTGTTTGATGTTGATGCCAGGATAGATGTATGAAATTCTCCGGAATCTCCTAATGCAAGAGGGAAAAAAAAATCCAGCCGAAAAATGCTGCTACATGACATGAATATAAAGCGGGTAATGTGAATTGAACCACAGAACACAACGATTATCAAACAGGCAACAAGATTTTATTTGTATGAGGTAGATAGGTGGTATCTACAGTGGTAAGTAGTATAGGTACATGACATTGTATAGATCTACATGACTTCTACTAATTACTAGTATATATTCTAGATTACTGAAATGATCACACTATACACATACAAATGTATAACTTAGCAGCCCTTTAAATTTGTGGCATTTAAGAGTCGGCACTGTACTGAGTTCTAGTCAATTCTGTGGAGCCTCAGAGAAGCAAAGTTTAATCAACACATAGATGCCAGACCCCTAGTATAAAGTCAGCATGGCCTTCTACTACTAGTTTAAATGCAAAGAATTTCCTTTGAAAGTTACAACTTTCCGTCACTACATTTCTGGCATAGCGCCGTAGGAATGATGTTGAAGGCGTTGCCATGGCTACAGACAGAGAGGGTTGAGAGAACTGCGTCACGTCTCAAAAAACAGACCAGGAACGGGAGAGTGCGGAGGTGACAACTTTCCTTCTTATGATCTGACGAACAGAAGATGCAGAAATGAGGGCAAACAACCGCCGCCGCCTGATCCACCGGTAAGAATGTATATCTGGAACACGAAGAACTATGGGTTTCACCTTAAAGTTATCATTTACATTACAAGTACAAAATGTTCAGACTAAAGCAGCCACAAGTTCTTTTGTACTCTTGTGTTCTCTATCCACAAGCATGTTAGCTTCATTAACATCTGAAATGCATTGGAGGCAAAGTGGCACAAAGTGGATTGAGTGTTCACCTTGCATTAGGTGATTGCTGATGTCCAAGGTTCAAGGTTGCATTTAAGGTTGTGGGTTTGATTCTCAGCCAAGTCTTGGTGTCTAAAAATGGTAGATACTGTTTTCTCCATGTAGCATTGAATGGGAAGAAGTATGGGAGATAAACTTAAACACAATTCATACCACTACCAGTGGACTAGCCCCCTGCTGTTGTGATTGTACAACTGTGTGGCCCAATTGCAAGGGCTACAGAAATAGAGATATATATACCTGATATATATAGGTACAGAAAAGAACTAAATTGACTTTGGCTTGCAAAAGACTGGAATATCTAACTTAATGTCAACACGGCCTTTTTTTCAAGCTGCAAAATACACTTGGATGGTACAAAGTAAGTGTTGTAATAACTTCCATTGTATTATTATTTCCAGGGACTGCTGGCCGTTTTCTGAGCTGTTCTTGCCGAGGCGCAGCACTCCTGCCACCCAAAGCTGTGGTGGACGGGGAGGACGCCCCCCGGAGCCGGTAAAGAACCCTTCTCATTCTGTATTTAGGAAAATAGACTTCTGCTGGCTAGATTTCAACAGGCCTTCATAGTTTTGATCTTCTCTTAGCCTGGACACCTGTTCATCAGTAGATTCCTGAAAATAATAATTTTTTGTTTATTTTTCAGGAGAGCCAGCCGGGTGGTTGTCTGCCTGCCCTGACTGGGGGGTAACAACCCTGCACCAGACAGCGGCACAGACCGTTTCTACAGAACTTAGCTGTTATATTACATAGTTTCATCTAACTTAATGTTAAATGTAGTGATAGTTGTTTTCTCCATCCTTGTGAGCGGTGCAAGTTTAGACCCGACATGTTTTCCTGGGTGCAAGAACACAAAATCCTGGTCATCCTGTATTCCTAATTACAGGCACCGCCCTGGCGGTCCTGGCCCTCGCGAGGATGCCTGTATCTTATGTACTTCACAGCTACAGCAACAGTCAGTATTAAATCTGAATAACTCCTCCCAGCATACCTCAACATGCCTTCCTAACAACTACCGTGTAGCGGTTCGGGGGTTCTCGTTTGGGATACTGTCAGTTCAGAAACTACGACCATCTCAGAAAAAGTCAAAAGTAAGTGAGCTTGCTCTCATTGAGTGTGGAATCACAGATGTGGAACAGGACCTTTTGGCTGAGTTTCCTAAATTGCAGACGTTACGCCTTGACTACAACAACCTGACCTACGTCAAGCAAAACTGGTTCAGTGGTGAGCGTTTTACCCCCGAGCATTTTCATGTCCTGTCATTGTCACACAACTACATCAGTAACATGGATTCAAAATGCTTCCAAATCCTGACTTCCCTGCACACATTGATACTGGACAGTAACTCTTTGCAAAGTGTCCAGCCATCTTGGTTTCACAATCTGAAATGGTTGGGCACACTTTCCTTGAAATCAAACTCTATCAAAACGATCCATCCACAGGCATTTAAGCCACTGTCAGGGCTGGGAGACCTAGACTTGAGCATGAATGAGTTGACGTGTTTGTCAAGTGAAACTTTAGAGGGGCTACAAAAACTAGACAAACTGTCATTGGGTGGGGATAGTTTGGAAATGACCTGGCGACTGGGCTATCGTTTCACTCCATATTACGGTCAGCGTATCGCAGTAAGGGTTAACGAGGTGCTTTTCTGTATCACTGAATTCGAAGTTCCCCAACTGAAGAAGTTTTACAATGTTCAAATGCAACACAACACCCAGGTAACACAGGCAACTTTGCCAGGTTTGGAACCAAACATTCAATGTAATAATCTAGATCTTAAGGGGCCAAAAACGAAAAGGCAACTGAAGTACAGCTTACCACTGATTCTCTTATCAGTAAATAACACAGAATCAGACATCAAACCTGCTCAAAACATCACCCACTTGTGCCAACAAGCTTGGGAAAATGTCTCCACTGTAAGGGTAGCGTTAGGGGGAGACATTACTCTGCAGATTGTTCCCATGGGTTTAGACAGGTCCTGCCATCCCCAAACTGTTGCTATCGTTATATCAAATGTCATCTCTAAAGAAAACAGGACCAGGCTGTATGATCATGAAGAAATGACGAATGTAACATGTTTGGTCAACACTTGGGAGGAGGAGACTTACCAACATGTCTTCATCGCGCCCCTGTCCAGTACTCCTGATGGCACCGTGTGTCCAAGAAAGACCCAGGCCACAAGGACTCCCGATAGTACCTTGTTTACGAGAGAGGGGATGCCACTGACCACTATAGAGCCTAAGATCACGACAACAAAGTTATCCCAGAATCAGACTACATGTACATGTACAGTGTGTACATGCAGTCCCTATCCAAATGGAACTGTGAAAGAGAGATCCCCACATGTAGCGATCATCATAATGGGAACTGTAATAGGGGTAGTACTGGTAGAACTGCTTGTAGTGTACGTTATCAGAAGACAGCGCTGTTGTACGGCCACACAGGAGCCTCCGCCGGCTGCGCCCTTCCCGAACTGCTGGTTGATGGGTGGTCCAGGCCCCCTGGCAGGAGCCCGTGGTACAGCACCTAACAGGACTACACAGCAGTCAGGTGAGCAACAGTACAGTGAAATTCCTGATGAGTACTACGACCAGCAAAACACGCCACAGACTGATCATGATTACAACTACTACAACACGATCCCAGATGAGTACTACAACCGATACAACACATACCCTCCGACACGCCGGATACCTCAAGATGACAGGGACTACTCTGTAAGACTGAACACTGCTGCAGCTGAGGTGGTCCTTCCTTCATCAACCCGGCTGGGTGGCAAACACCCATCCTACGATACAGCCCCACAAGTCTGGAGAGACCCACAGAACTATCAGATACCTGCACGGGGACGTCAGACTAACATCAGACCACACAGAATACTAGTACCTCAAACAGGCAACAGTGGCCACCAGTATATGGGTTTGCTTGGTAACTGCAGATATAACAGGAGACCCCTATCATACCCTCAGATACTTCATGTACCTCAAAGACGATAAGGAGTACTCTGTAAGATTGAACACTGCTGCAGTCTGAGGTGGTCCTCCCTTCATCAACCAGGCTGGGTGACAAACATCCATCCTACGATACAGCCCCACAAGTCTGGAGAGACCCACAGAACTACCAGATACCTGCACAGGGACGTAATACAAACATCAGATCACACAGAATGCCTGTAGCAAGCAGTAGTAGTACTAGTGAGCCACGATACATGGGTTTGATTGGTAACTATAGCAAAACAACTACAAAGTTCAGAAAGCAGAGAATGCCCCTGTACAACAATCCCCTTACCCAGCCCAACAGACATCAGATTAGCACAAAGTACCAGTCTGCACTCAAAGCTGAACATCCAGAAAACTCAAATCATCCAAACATGTCACGTCAACAGGCTTCAGAAGGGGTCATTTAACCATTTCTCAAGGTCATACACTGGCAAGGTGTGAGGGTGGTAGCAAAGGTCAAGTTATAATTAAAAGGTCTAAGTTAAAAAAGGCAAACCATCATCGTCAGAGCATTTAGATGATTGCTGGCTACTGTCATCTTACTCTTAGGTAATCTGAACAGTGTACCTTCATGACACAAATTCCGTTTAACTTTCTCCCTACTGCCTGACCCCATAACAAATACAAATTTGGTGCCAAATGGCTAGATTAAGCATGCTGAAGGTTAACACACACTCACACGCACTATCCGTTTAACGTCTCGTGGTCCCTGTTGCTCGAGGGTTGGACGTGGAATGTTGCCCTGGCCTGATTGCTGCTCTCCAGCTGGTTCTGTCCTGTGGGTCAGCCTTTTGAACTCTCCACATTTGACTGCATGTTGAGGAAATAAAATTGAAAAGTCATAAATTCTGACCCCTCTCCAAAAATTCTTGCAGGAGTGACTTGACAGAGAGCAAGTTTTTACTACTACATGTTCCAATAATTCTAATTAAAATGTACATCCCCCTTTATTTCCAAAGATACTGGCGCTGTAGCTGCACTACATCCAACTGTGTTATAGTCATGTACAACCAACAAGGCTTCTTGGGAACAAGGCTTGGCTGACAACTACTGCATTCAGAAACAGAACTGTAAAAAAATCAAGAAGTGCCCCTATCAGAAATTGTGAAATTAGAATCTTGCACCCAGGAAATATGGATGAATGTTGGATTGGTCTCTTACTGAAGACATTTTATTGTCTAGTGATGTTAAGCGTAGGAAAAGTGATATAATTGCAGGGATGACATTCAATAATTGTAGCTTTGTGAAGTAAAAACTTGTGGTATAATAATACGGGGTAGAAAGTATCTCTACCTGAGAAATTGTGATATTAATATTAAATCTTGCACCCAGGAAATATGGATGGATGGATTTGGTCTCTTACTGAAGACAATTTGTTGTCTAATGATGTTAAGCGTAGGAAAAAAGTGATTGTAGGGATGAGATTCAATAATTGTAGCTTTGTCGACTGGCTTTAAACGTTCATATGTATGCCTGGAAAACTTGTGATTTGTGGGATAGAGAAATTTTAAGAATGCCATTCAATTTCAATTATGACCTGTGATACAGCCTAATACAGATGTAATATGTATAGAATTCCATCCGATCAATTTAAATAATTGTACTATCAACTTACTTTTTATAACATCAACATTGTCACAAATACAAATGACAAAATGCCTTAACCCTGGCTGGGGTGTTGCTAAAACAAAGATTAAGGAATTCGAATGTACAACCTTATTTCTAGATACTTTCAACACCATCACAAAATGTAGTTTGCAGAAAATCCCATTTTGAACATAAAAGAGTTGATTGGCTATGGATAATATCACAAAATACAAATGATAAAATGCCTTGAGGTATTGTTAAAAACATGTAATAGATGAAACACCTTTTAAAAAGTTTATACAAGAATTTGATTAAATTCAAAAGTAACAGCTGGATATATGACCAGCATTATTTAGTCCTAACTTTTGAGAGTGAAAACTTAAGCTTACCTAATAGTATATATTATCACTGATGGCATTCCCCCTGACTATAGAAGTCCTATTGACAAATTGGCAAACATGATTCAAAAGCAGAAAGTGTTCAAGCCTTCAATAATTTTTCCTAACCATTTAATGTTAACCACTGTGATTCTAAGGTTATAGCACACATGTGGCTAATAAAGTACAAAATATAGAAATCACACTCAGTCTGATATTCTTTGTTTTTTTCACACTAGCTTTATTTTTTAATAGTATAAGTATAGCACTAATGAATATAACACTATAGTATAAGCAGGTGCAAATAAAATGTACATCACTTAAATGTTTTAAGTCAGAGACGTTTATGTTTAAATGTTTTAAATCATAGATATTTACGTTTCAATGTTTTCAGTTGTGGATATATATGTATTACTTGACACTCCATCTGGTGCTGTGCTAACGTCAGGCAAAACGGTCGTTAACATGAAAAAATTAGTATGCAACAAGGACATCGGGCTAAATATCACATGTAAACACTTATAGTAACATAATATTAGGTTCGATGTGCCAGGTCGCCATCTTGAGTTCGGAAATTGATAAGAAACTCGGTCATATTTCTGAAGCTACTTCGCGTTTCCTCTCCAGTTTCCTCTAAACATAGTCCCAAGAATACAGCGGACAAAGTTAAGTACTACTCACCACCCAAAACGGACGTTTGTCGTCTTCCAGAGACTAATTTATCTTCCACGTTTCTCCAACTAGACGTGTCCAGTCGCCATCTTGGAGTTCGGAAATTCGCGCGTTCGCATGGCCCCATGGGTAATGCCCCAACTGAGTGGCCCCACCCACCTGTTGATCGTTAGGCCATGTTGATTTGATTATATGGATGACATCCACGCGCGCATGAATTTTCGGCCGTTTCCAAAAAAAAAAAGTTTTCAACCATACTGTAAATCGTGCAAAAAAGTTGCTAAATGAGCAAAAATATACCATAAGTTGCAAGGAAAACATTTAGAAACAATACCAATGTCGTAGAATGCCAAAATCAAAGGAAAAAAGACAAAAATGTTAAGAAATGAATTCGAAGAGTAGATTATTCGCCATAACATATTCTGTGCCATTTGTTCAACCTTCATGACCACGTAGATTTCATAGTGAAAGCAACTTTTTTTTTTGCAAAACTTTTTTTTTATTCGCACGCTCGCATCAGTTTTCGGGTTCCCAGAGGATGTCATCTATATAATCAAATCAACATGGCCTTAGTAATAGTAGCCAATATGATGATGACGTTTAACAATTTTTTTTTACCAAAAAGGAAAATATTCTATTTAAAGACATATTCATGTGATTTTAATTTACTACTTCCCCTTTTCAACGTATTTATGCATTTCTGACAATTATTGTTAAAACAGCGTTAAAACAGCCCGCAGGAGGCGCACAAAGTTTGTGGTGCCACCACAAACTACCACGATTTAAACAAACATGGATGGACTCTGTTTCAAGCTTTGATTTTAAACACACTATAAATACTACTTGGTTATAAAACAACTAATTAATAAAGATGTTTCAGACCGACACCGCTTTCATCTACAGTATTTGTTAGGACAGTTTCTTTGCGAGCGTGCGTTTGCGCAATTGCGTATGTGTTTTTTTTTTCTATACAAAAATAGAAGTAAAACATTGTGCTTTGTGTCGGACAATAAATATTATACATTTGTGACTGTAACTTGCAAACCGTGCATACAACATGTTTATTTTATACCCATTCCACGTTGATATAGTTTCAACCGTTGTTGCCTTTGACATAGCCTCTACCAGGCTTCAGGCGGAAGACGTTAGAAAGAGTAGAAATAAGCCATGTAGACAGATAACATGCCAGGGGAGTTGGTAAAATAGTACAGTTAGAGAGAGCGGCAAATGGCACCCTTTAGCGGATAAACTCCGCTGGCATGCTATCTGTCTATTTGACCAATTTTTACTCTTTCCAGCCACTTCCTAAAGCCTTTGGTAGCGCTTTCCGAAGCCTGGTAGAGGCTACATTGGACACACGTACGTCATTTTTCTACATTTATAACAAAGTTGCCACAGGGCAAGGTGAAAGGTCGTCCTAGCCTTGTGAGGCTGTTGAGCGAGTCTTGAGGGAGTGTCCAAGTCAGTACACATAATACACAATACCTGTCTGTGTCGCTTCTCAAACGTGACTAGCATACAACCAACAGCATTACAGCAAGGTCATTCTAGCCATCGACTCTTAGTCTAACACCCTATTTGTTTAAACCCAAACACAAAAGAAGGTTTTAGTCTCTAATTCTAAACCTCTCGTTTCGGACCGAGTTACAGATCGCTTGACCCGAATCGTGACCTTAAATGACTTCATCGGGGGTTATCCAAAATGTTTCGGAGGGTTGCGATCTTTAAAAACATTGGAAAACTGTCAATATTTTTCTCTCAAGCCAGCATGAAGGAGGAGCGCTGTGGGAAATCAGCTCCAATGTAATAGCGGATATGGGAAATGAACTTCTTCTATAGAAATGGAACAAAATAAGGGCAACTCGCAAAACTGAGAAAGATTGATGGTCTAGAAGCTAGGGGAATTGTGGTACCCATGCAACATTGCGCGGGGCCGGAACCTAGTCAGCAGAAGGTGTATGATATATACTAAACCGAGGGAAGAAACCGTCTCACTTCGCCACACAGGAAATGCGGGGGCGGTTTGGACCCATTTTAACCCACAGTCAAGCCTCAAGCGTTCTGTTTACGAGTCTCGGGAAGTCTACGTGAGCCAAAGCAGAAATGGCAGCATATGTACGGACTACGGGAGGGAGGCCAGCTGTATGTGTGCTGCTCTTCCTCGCGGTTTGCTGCTTTCTGGTTCCCTTAACAGGTGCAGGTACGTGTACATGTCGTAGGTTGTCTTGTAACGTAGGCCCCTCTTACATACGTCGTACGACAGGATCACGACAAGGACGTTGCTAGAACAGTCGTGTATGTGTGGTACAACAATCCGGCAGTCTTCTGAAGGCTGTCGTAGATCCATTCGACGTTTCCTTGTGTCTACAGCCACTGAAAATCGTACCACAGAAACTGACAGACCTTATAAGAGAATGTAACTTCATTTATCAAAGAAGGAACAGGGAAGGAAGTGAGGCCAAAGAGGGCGGTGCCATGCTGATTGTAATGCGGAAGTGAAACCAGGCCATCTTTTCGTGTACACATGTATTGGGAACAATATACACCAACTATAATTACAAATAGTAGTTACTCTACTCAAATAGTAGTTACTCTGAGAGTAAATAGTAGTAACGTTAGTAACAAATGGTGTAAATCTGTAACTGCAAAACAATACGAATGTGACAAACACACAGTGGTGTGGTTGTTGTAAAGGCAAGGCGTACTTGTCAAAAAGCGAAATGAGGTAGACCATGGTTAAGATTGATCACACTTCCTTAATCTACGGAAACAGTAACGTTTAGGAGACTTATAGCGTTCCTATGGGGTGTAATACAGTCTGGTTGATTTATGCTGTGACTACCAATAGCTGCTAGGGTAGCGGTAGGTTTTATATATGCCTCCAAGTCAACGGTTTCGCGTTTATCTAGCTGTCAGGATTCAAGCCTTTTGGCATGGCGAGGGGTGAACCATTTTACGTTGTTGCGGGGGTGTTACGCCGAGTGAGAAAGTGAAAATACTAGTACTAGTAGTACTAGTCAGAATGTCCCCCAGCAAAAGAGAAATCACCTGCAGTTAAAGGTGCATTATGTAACCTTTTTCACTAAAATTGAAATATTTTGCTTGAAGAAATCTTTGCTTGGTTATGATTTACTTCCACTTTTCAACATATTTGGGCAATTTTCTCACATTTTTTGTTGGTGCTCTAAAACAGCCCACATGAGGCGCACTCAGTTTGTGGTGCCACCACAAAATACCAGAATTTAAACAAACATGGGTGAAATCTGTGTTTACAGCTTTTAAACATACTCGTAAGGCATCATATTTTGGTACCTCCACATCCTTAATGAGAGTTCTTTGCAACGGAGTAGGGTTGATTCAACTTACTTTGTAAAGAGCTTACCAGAAAATTGACTTTTTGTATGATCCTAATGTTACACAATGCAGCTTTAACACCCCACCCCCATATTTTTGTACCAGCCCTTGTGCATACAGGATTGAGTCTTTTTACTGAGCGAACTGGTTTATGCAGGGTCGTTTAGTGCCTGACGCAGTCTGTCTTGAAATGTGGAAGAATTCGGTGATAAAAGCTGTAACGAATATTGATGTGAGGAAGGCACTATGTGAAGGTCACATTGGCAGCGCCTGTCACCCGACATTATACAGAAGTTTCAAAATTACTCTTTTTGGCAACGCCTCAGGGACAAGACTAATAGCGCAGGTGGCTTGCTGGGCGATCTACGCCAATGATTAAAACACTTCTGTTTGATCCTTCTAGTATAAAAATTTCGTGTAGTTTTTTTGAACTGCAACAAAGATGGCACGGTAAACCGTTATTGTTCCGGTAGTAACAACCAGGAATTGGGAGAGACTTGCTAGAACACAGCTTATACATTTCGTACATAACTGTGAATATTTGATCTGTTTGTACAGGTTGCCCGACTGTCCGTCTGTTTGGATCCACCAGTCTATACCCTGAACTATTTATTGGCACATACAGCATGACTGGTCCTGTAACACCTGGGAGGCGACCTGAATACAGAAACGATGAGTCCAATTTAGCACCGGCGTTTTTCAGCGATGGTTTCTGGCATGTAGGAAATGCAAATCGCATCCGTGTGAAAGACTCCAGCTTCTATCTTGAAGACATAACCGGTACCTTCCAAATTTGGGACAGTAAAGCAGGGTCTGAAGGAGAATTTGTAGTGGATCCGGAAGCCCACTTTAGTTGTGCAGGTTTGTAAACTCACTTTTTGGCAATGCCTCAGGGACGCTACCGACTCGTAATTCATTAAAGTAAGCATTGCAATCCAACATTTCTACAGGAACATGACACCATATTTCTTTAATCAAGGACAAGATTCATTTGTATACAATATATATCGTATTTGCATGGGATGATAGCAGATGATAAATACTGTCACATTTATGTCTTGATTTGGTTGCCACAACATTTATAGTGCAACTGTAGACTTACCTTGTGTTTTTGTTTCAAACAGACATAACGTACATCTGCAAGGACGACAGGAAAACCATACAATGTTCCCGACCAGACTTTCAGAAACTCCTGATCGTCCGTGCTATCTACGGTCAGGACTGGGCATGTAAGTTGTCAATGTGTACAGAACGGGAGGGAGACTGTACGAATTGTTTTTGGGTAACCAGAAATGACGTCATAACAACAGTGAAGGCGCGCTGTAGCGGTTCCTGGGGGAACTGCACCTTACAACCGTCGGATGAGATGTTCCAAGGAGACCCGTGTGGCCACATAGAAGGGGATGTGGATAAGTACCTGAGAGTGGAGCACAGGTGTGTAAATGGTGAGTCTCCTCTCTTTTTCCGTACCCTTTGCCATTAAAAAAGAATTATTGCAGTTCAAATTTCTTCCAAAAGTGTGCTAAAATTGTATAATCTTGTACAACATTGCGTGTAATGATACTAGTATTCAATTGTAACATAACTGATCCTGATGCCCCTCCTTCAGTTCCAATGTCGCTCGGCTGCTACCAGGACGACCGAACCAACCCTCTGCTGACTCGTCAGCCGGTCTCTGATTACAACATGACGATTCCAAAGTGCCTAGCACATTGTCGATCTCAAAGTTACCGTTACGCCGGAGTCGCCGACGAATTATTCTGTCATTGCGGGAACCAGTTACAAGATTCTGCCTCCCACCGCCTACCAATCATGAACTGTACTGCACCGTGTGGTGGAGACGAGTCCCAGTTCTGTGGAGGCGGACGTGGCTCGCATAAAATGGAAGTATTTGAAGGTAAAAAGCTATCATTTTTCAAAGTTACAAGGCGGCAAATGCTTTCTTCTGAATTTGGGTACTTACTTACTTGTACTTGTACTTGTTCTTATGAATTTGGGTAAGGACATCAATTTGCAACTGTCGTGTCTGTCCTTGGTGCTGATTCAGCCATTGCATGACAATTCAAGAAAAAAGAATTCCCTAAAATCTGAAAAAAGAAAAGAAAATCTAAAAAAAAAATCTTTAAAAAAACGGAAGATTTTACATGAAGGAGTTTAAGTCACTTTAAGACTGAATCTCTCGTCAGCTATCTGACTCTGGGTCAAAGTTCGTCGGAAGTTGGTACCGCGCTTCGTCCTAGTTGAAAGAAAAATGACCGTACAGAATGTTGCTCTCCCTTTTTTCTTTATGCATGTGGTCATGAAAGGTACCCATTTGACTGAAAACTTACCAGTTGTTTTCTGTTTACAGCGTCTATTGGAGCATGTGGCGGCGACGTGAAGACAAATGAAGGTGTGATCTACTCCCCAGACTTCCCCGGACCGTACCCACTAGATCAGAACTGTGTGTGGAACATACAAGTCAGTTCTCAAAACATCATAAGGATCAATATAGAACTCTTAGACATCTCAGACAGCGATAGCTTGACGATTACAGAGTACAGATCTAAGCAGACAATTGTTACTGTTCTCAACGGTACGTCAATGACAGAATACGTCAGCGTTAGCAGTAATATCAGCCTGCAGTTCCAAGCGGGGCCGCAAAGATCGCAGCAAACGGACGGATTCATCATTCGTTATAAAGGTGAGTTTGAAAATAAGGCTGTTCAAAGATAGAATAATTGATGACGTCACTTCCGTTTCCCTAACCGTCAGATAAGTGACCTTGACCTTTGACCAACGGACCGTTATCTTCAATCAAACTACTAATTCATTATCCACATCTTTTGACCTTCACAGGTGTTGGCACCTGTGGACCCATAGCAGTAGCTGATGACGTCATTTCCATTTCCCCTGACCACGGAGGAAACTTCGCCATTGGCAAACAGGCGAGCATCGGTTGCAAAGACGGACGAAACGTCACTGTGCAGTGTCAGAACGACAGAAGCTTCAGCATTACTGCTCCTTTCTGTACAGGTAAGCTTGTGTGTTAACGACACTGTTTTATATGGTCCGAACTCCGAACACTGCACAGAATCCAAGTTATGCACACCTTAAAGGTGCTTAATGGACTTTTTAGGGCTTGACAACCAGAGTTTTCAAAGTCAATATTGTCTAGTCAATTATCTACATACTAAGTTGACAACACTATCCCAATGTATGCTGAAATTCCTGGAGCAAAAATGCTAAAGATTTTGACGGAAAACGCTTACTGGTACGAAGGCCTTTACGCATGCTTTAAGAGGTGTGCTTAAATGTAGGATTTCGTGCAGTGCAAATATCCCAGGACATTGGAGCCAACAGGTATGTATTTCATGCATGTCATACCCATACCATCTTTTCTAGCTCTTGATGTAGGCCACTGCGGACCCATAGATGTCATCAATGGCGTCATTTCCGTTTCCCCTAACCACGGAGGTAGCTTCGCTATTGGCCAACAGGCGACTGTCACGTGCCAAAACGGGCAGAACGTTACGCTACAGTGTGAGATGAATGGAGCCTTCAACATTCCCAAACCTTACTGTAGTACAGGTAAGACTGAAAATGGCACTGTAAAAGCAAGTCACTTGACTCCCACCTTTTGCATAACACACAATCTTCAAAAACAACACCTCAGTGTTGCGCCAAGTTGCGTATTGCAGTCATCAAATATTCCTGGAAAAATTAGTTCCTAGATCCTGGAAAAACTAATTCACTCTTTTAAAGGGAAGGTAAACCAAACTGTATCAAGGAGGTCATCATCAAACATACATGTGAAAAAACACAGCCCTACAAATTTGTCGCTCTCTTAACAGTCATGTTTCCTTTTAACAGATCGTGCCAAGTGGATGGCGATCGTCGGCGGTATAGTGGCAGTGTTGGTTCTTCTCGCCATAGTTCTTGTGGTCACTCTCTACATCATCAGGAAAAGGTAGGCATTTGTTGCTTTACATAATTATAAATATACAGAGCCTTTTAATACTTCAGTTCACAACTTGTAGAGACAAGGCTTCCTAAATTCGAAGTCAAAGTGACTGACCCTACATGATATTTAGTTTTGTTTTACATGTATAAGAAAAGACATTATGAAGGAAATTTAGAGGGAAAATTTTCACATAGAAATATTACTAAGTATATCGAGGTCTTCCTTGAATGGCCAGTAGTAGTAGATTTGCCTGAAATTTGACCCTTGCTTTTGATTATATGGTGATTTGTAAGAAATAAATATTTGCATTTTCAGGAGAGCAGCGCAGAAGCAACACGCCACAGGCACTGCCGCCTACTCCGCAGCTCCTACTTCAGACAGCCTCGTTCTGACACCCGGAAACCTTAGTGCGCGTGCGCTTGGCGGCAAAAACGAGGCAGAAGATGATGTCCACGAGTACGCCTCCATCCGGGACACTGGCCCCCGTGGTACCGAGCCGCTCTACGCTCAACCCGATGGCGGTACGAAAAAAACGCTCGAGTTAATGTATGCAAAGCCAATGAAACGCAAGAAGGGTACTCCTTCGGGACAAGAGGAAGAGGGAATCGTGGACAATGTTTTGTACGAAAGTTCGGTCGGAGCAGAGAGACAAACCATTAATGGGGAGCAACAGGGCCTCATTAACAATGACCTGTACCAACAGATCTAAACCTCAATTCTAAAGGATTGATATCTCTGGTATTCAAGTTACAGCTTTTGGTTAATTTCTAAATAACAAATCTATGTACACCTGTTAACTGTGTTAAGATGGATTGGACCCATGAATTCCAAACAACTAGCATAAGTTCCTATAAAAATTTACACTTTTTTAAAGGCTGTTATATGTTGTTACATCACTATTTTGTTGAGTTTGATTTATGCTACCGAGTTCTTAGAAATGATGCCAACCTGTACAGTAATACAGTAGTAACCGAGAGGAGGCCATGATCAGATCTATTACTACATGTAGATGGTAATTCAAAGAGTAGTGGAATTTCATCTTACAAAGAATAAGACTACAAACATAATAAATATATATATGGAGGGACAAACCAATAGCTATACGAAATTAAACAAAATGCAAGGGTCTGTTTTTAACCACACTCACCCCATCTGTATTTAAACTGCATGTGTATAGGAACAGGCAGACAAACATAGGAACATACACTAGCATTTGTAATACATGTAGTACTAGTATATATTTGGTTTCATTTATCTTTAATAGAATAGGAAATACATTTTGTACCAAGTTTTAGATTGCAGTGTGGAGTGCCATATCTTAACATGTAAATAACGACTTTATGACATTCCTAAAACGAATTTGGGAGCAATGACAGTATGTGCATATTCTATGCTTTTGTGGCTTATTGTCAAGCTGTGTACGTTTTGTGGGCTACATTGTATTGTGGAGAATATATTATGTGACCCAAGATTATGTCTGTATACAGAATGAAATAAACGTACAACAGATTCATATTATGTAACACAGGAAACTGCATGGATAATTCTGTCATTTACAAGTTATTCATGACCTGTAGTGTACATATTATAACTACAACCCCCACCTACACTATAAGTCATTCCAGCATTTGATACTTCAAACATAGGAGAAGCTAAGATATTCAATCCACGGTAAATCTTGGCCTAAAGAACATAGAATTTTCTCAACTTTTGTTATGTCTCATTCAAAACATCTCACATTGACTAAAATATTTCGAAATTCGAAGAATATCAATTTCTCTTTAAAAAGTTACCAATTGCCCCACTAAAATTGGCTACTTTGATATACAACTGTTACTGAATATTTGAATTCTCTTATTATCTGTGAATAACATGTTACATATACATGTACAAAGAAAGTATAACCAAGCTACCTGTTTGTTTTTCTTACTAGAAACCATCCATATTAACTCAGGTTTTAAAATCTAGTTACATTATGTTAGTGTAACCAGCATCTAAAGATATGATTGGGATAAACACACATAACAACAAAAAATTGTAAAGGTGTCTGCTTCAGACAACTCACGATTGAAATACATCAAGAAACATAAGGATTTCTCTTCATGCAGTTTCCAACTTGGTCACAATGTCCTCTGCAATTTTCTGTATCTCTCCCCTAGCTCTGTCTGCGAGAACCTTGGTACCAACTATCCCCTTTAAGGTAGGAGAGTACTTCCTTAACTTGTCACCAAAAGCCGCAAAGTGATCATCATTTTGATCCAGCCAGATAGGAAAGAATTTCTTGTTTGCCAGTAGAGAAAGCTCTAGCTCTAACTTGGGCCAGTACCTATCGTTAAGAACATGGCGACTGATCACAATCACTACAAGCTTCAAGGACGGGCTTGAAAGAGTGGCTATTATCTTGTCGTCTATGGCATCCCCTGGCTGAAGACTGATTTCGTCGTAGAAGATCGTCTCCGCCGGAAGTCCCTCCAGAAGTTTGTCGACGAGAGGTCTGACAAACCGGCCCTTGTCTGGTCCGGCGTGGCAGATAAAGACATGTGGACCTGACGGAGGGACAAGTTTTGTTTATTTATTAGCAATTTATTCACTTTACCAGGGTAAACATATTGCCTTTTTCAATGCGCCTATGGGGGACCCTAAAAATAAATCATCAACATCAAATGAAATTACAGGAAATAACAAAACATAACTCGTCACAAAGCCACGTTGACTACAAGTGTAGCTGTTAGCGTTTCTTCGTTTTTAGAAATTTAAGAAAGTTTCTTTAAGCGGAAGTTTACGTAGCTGAGAGACCAAATGTGCAGATATATTGGAGACAGATCTTTCAAAAAATGTTTTTGTCTAAATTTGTCGTTATGCACTGTATTTAACTCGTTACAGAATTGTGTTTACGTGTATCTCCAGTGCAAAAAGAACAACATCATTTTGAAGTCATAAACTTTCTCCAATACTGTATCCATCAACATTGATAGTAACTTTCAAGTTACCTTCTGTTGTTTCATTTTGCGTGCTGGTTCTTCTCAGCTGATCTGCCACATGTTTGTGGTCTCCTTTCTGCAAAATCTCCACAAACTCATCAGGACTACACTTGCCATTTTCGATCAGGATGTCCAGCAAAGCTTCGGCCTTTCCTCGCGTGGTCACTTTGCTCATGATGACCTGCTTGTCGGAGAGGTCCAGTTTACGTCTCTGGATGAAGTAAGGAATCAGTTTCTCAACTTGTAGTCTCTCCGACAGATGATCGTAGTTGTCTGTGATGAAGTCTTTTATGGCCTCTGTTGAATATATGCAAGGGCAGTATATAATCATTATGTATTAAATACCCATGGTATGTGCCAGTCAAGCTAGAAAAGCCTGCTTGCAGTTGAGAAACCAGCGAACAAACTCGCCATGTACCACCCTATTTGCATGTGGCTATTGTGAGCCTTTGCTCCCCACAGTTAAAAATTTGAGTCATGTATCACATACCGAACAGTGTTTCTTTTGTTTGATATCGTTCCAAAAATCATCGTGTAGATAAATCAGAGATTGGAACTGCACTCCGACGATCTCCAAGAAAGGGAAAGAAGACCATTTATATTTATACAGTCGGACCTAGCCTAAAATTCGCGTCAACAAACTCCAAATACCTGAGTCGCCATGTTTCGCCAAATTTCCATTTAAGGTGGGAATAAAGGTACAGTACAGTCATTTGAATAACGTTTAATTACACAAAGACTTGGTTAAGAATATTACACACAAACTCTGAATACTGCAAACGCCTTCCTGATGCTTAAGTATGGTCATGATTCAGTAACAGTTTGTGCACTGAACGAAGTTTCGATGGACTCACCTTTGTTGTCACCAGACGCCATTTTTTTTCAGTGATCACCTGAGTTGTACAACAAAATGTCCCACAAAACAGTTGACCGGGAACAAACGCTGTTTCGAGAAAATGTTGACCCACTGGCGCTTGTCTGATCGCAACGGAACGGTTTAAACGTGTTGAAAAAGTTACAGAAACCGTATTTTTATGCTTAGTCACCACAGGTGTGCCATGCGAATGTCGCCATTTGTCTTTGTCCAAACATGCATGACTGTGACTTCCGGGAGTCTGGATCCCATAGAAATGCCCTTAAGGGTGACCTTCAACCTCTGCTACTGTACACAGTAAGTTGTTTATCATACGTGATCACAACTTCTGCTCGTATCTGTCGGTCCTACCTGCCCTCAGCAGTGCAAAAGGCTTCATTACGACATTATGGTGTCACCGTCTTTCACGATTATAGCTCAAAAGCAGATGTTTCCTCGGCGCAAAACCATTTCATGTAATTATATAAACACTGTTAGAACAATACTGGGGGGGGGGCGTTAGAGGGGAGGGGGTGAAATAAAAAGGACGCTTCTACGTCTTGCATATTCCGATGTATCAACGATCAGGCTTTTGAGACTTTAACAATACATTCTGTGGCAGTATTAGAAACATATTATAAAGCGCAGAGATCAACACATGGTGGCATAGCTTTAGAATTTCAAGTTTATTGATAACCACTCTAAGTACATGTACATGAAATAAGGTACAGAAGAATTTAATGTCTTCTTTAATAAGTGGCACACATTTGACACAGATAAACATACTAACATGTGAGAAAACTTATTATCTATAATATAAAGTGATATATACACAAACTACTGCTATCAATCCAACCACAAAGACAATCCTTACAATCATTATATAGTAGATTGTGCTTGTTTATGCATACAGTTCATTCATGCATGTGTATATGGCATGTACTTTCACAAAAACATTCACATTATACAATATTTAAAAACATCATGAGAAGCAAATAGGTCTCATTTTCGTCTGATCACACACAAGCAAAGTATTTACATTTTTGCCACACTCCAAGTAATTAAGTGTCAAACTCTTGCAAACCCTAGGAAGCTTCTTTAAGCAACTACAGAACACACAACAAAACAGGCCAAGTAGGGTCGTCCAAAACATGAATCATTTTGCAGTACTCAAATGTCCATACAAACGGTCCAAAGTTCGTCATCAATGTTGGCGTCCAGGTAGGCATTGTAAGTTTCTATCCACTTTTTGCTTTGGCCACCGTGACGATGACCGAGGCTCTCGGCAGCAGCTTCTTGTCGATCAGCTGCAGAATCTCCGGAGATGTGAAGGGGTTGAGACGGTCCAGTCCCTCCAGCACGAACAGAATCTTCTCCTGGGTCTGCTCCATGTACCTCCACAGGGATTCTTTGGAGAAGGACGGTTCGTACTTGGAGTCGTGCAGAAGTTGGTCAAAGATAATGTCTATGACTTTCTGGTTCTTTCGGACTTTGTTGAGTTGAAGTTTGTACACTTGTGTAAAGTCAGAGGTGACCTTCTTGTCTTTCACCCAGTCTGCTGCAAGTGCAGTGCCTACATGACAAGTCTTCATTGTAGCAATCATCCAGGAATTCGAAAAAGGCCGCAGTAAGCCTGCTCTCAACTCCTGTTCCAAATAGACAAGCTCAATCCCCTGGGACGTTGGGACATGAATCCTGGGTTTGGTGTTACCCATCTCGTATCCCATTAGCCCTTCCAAGCTTGTACTTCCTTCATGTCGTTTGACCTCCTCTGTGTAAACCTTCCTCAGACGACCTTCCAGTTCTGAAATAAGCAAAAAGGTGTGTGTATCACATATACTTACATCTTTGCTGATATATGACAGACATTTGGCACCAAACGTAAAAATGCATGGCTAGTTAGCGCTGTGGCACTGTTTTACACGTTATAAACACTATCTGTTATCATGAAGCCTGTCACGGTGCACTCATAGCCTTAAGAATAGATAACAGCGTTCATCAGGATATCATTTATCTCATAAGTCAACCAATTTCGCAATTCCCCTATGGTATCAAAATCACCATAGGATTGCGTAAGTTAACACTAAATCCTGATAACACAGAACTCCAATGAGCTTCAAGTATCGATTTTAAGGCATGTTGGTTCTGGCAGGTAAAGTTGTTACCCAATGTGTTATAATATGATTTTCTTCGGAATACTGAGTACTAACCGTGACCAGTGTAAAAGGCTACATGTCCTTACCTTCCAACTGTGCATCTGTCATGTCCTTGTACCCCTCCGTTCTGGCCACCTTGCCGTTCGGCTCCCCCACCAACAGTGCCCAATGGTAATGCTCAGTCCCCTCTAACACGTCTGCCAAATGCCCATGTCCGCTCCGGCGCAGGACGTCCACGAACAGGGTTGGGGTACATGTATGATGGGTGATAAGTTTATCGAGAAGTGCCTGTGCCTTTTCCTGTGAGGTTGTGTGTGCCAGGATCTGCTGTTTGTCTTCGATCGACAGGATTTTCTCCTGGATCAGATACGGCATCACAGCTTCCACCTGGAGTTGTTTTGTTAGCGTGACGTAGTGGCGGAGGAGAAAGTCTTCCAGATCTGACGTAGGAAAGAAGACTGTCAGAAGCGCACATTTCACATTGTTCTGTGCCTCATACATGAAAATACAACGACACAGAAAAAATGAGAAGGAAAGACGTACTTGACAGAACATACGGTAAAGACGAAGAGAAATGTTGCTGTATGAGAAGTAGAATTCGTATTATATTGATTATGAACAGTCGTTATGAAACTCCATTTCCTGATTAACGCAGTTTTAAGAACCACCCGCACACAACGAACTGCACGCGGGAAAAGGGAACTGGTGTATAAAATGTGAAAGACTTACTTATATCAAAAATGCGGATGGGGCGTTTGGTCGCCATATTGCTCGTCAACTTAAAGCTTCACTAATTTTAAAAAACAGGCCGTCCGTGTAATTATACGAGCTGGTCACCTGAGTGCAACCTTGGCACTTTCACGAAGCTAGGTCGGAAGAACAGCAGCCTTCGGTGTATATTTTACACCCTAAAACTGTGAAAACGTACCAGGGAAGAAATCTACGCAGACCTGGCGCCCAGGTATTTCTACTGCGACACGGCTACCTTTGCACCTGACGATGGGGAATAACCGTGACGTCATGCAGGTGCACGGGACCGAGGCAAACACGCACGGTTCCCCATTACTACTAGTATGGGTAGCAGCTAGCCTCCTTTTACTCTCCAAGCAGAGTTTGTGGGGGAATGATCGTTAGCTTTTTATATATGGCCGTTTTTGTCGCTATCCCCACCGGTGGCCGACGACATTCTCTGGCTAATGGATACTGCCTGGCCAATTTGATACTGTCTTTTTGCCACCAAAAGGGATCTGCTTGGAGATTACCTCCTTTAGCTTTGCAGGCGTTTCGGGAGCGGGCTACGTTTTTTAAGGGGGGTGGGGTGGTTCTGAACACACGTAGATCACACACGCTTAGATGAGAACTCTATGGCCGCCTTCTCTAGTAACCCCCTCTGGTTCCACTACTACTAGTACTACTACTAGGCCAGACGGCTGGACCCTCCTCCCCCCCGAAAAACCGAGATCCCCCCCTCCCTCCAAAGGAACGCCAACCGCTCCTGGAACGCCTACGTAGGAGGCTAGGTTCTTGGCAGCAGTACACAAGGACAGTTCCTTATGATTTGTGTAATTGAGGACCTTGCACTATACCATGCCCTGAAAACACATACACACACTCAGAAAACACACCACACATTTTTACAATCCATCACTGTATTGCCTTGTATTAAAATAGATTGTCAGAAACCTGCTACAACTAAATTACCAAAGGAAAAAAACTGCTCTATATAATATGGGTATATACAGATGTGTACATTATTAATCATAGTCTCCTCCAACATGCCATTCTATAACAAAATTAGTCTACGATGCCTCGTTTTTTAAACACCACAGAAAACCATAATTACAAGGTAAAACTTTCCCATAAGCCCTGGTCCTCCACCCATTGTACATTATTCTACAGCAGTGAAATAAAACTTCAAAAGTATCATGAAAAAGGGGGGTTCTTGGTGGAGTGAACACCTAGGAGATATTATTATTATGCTTCCTTTATGATTATGATACTCTCTACAGCATCAAGCTGTGGTCACTTCTAGAACAATCTTTGAGCCTAACTATGATGCTCATCTTTAAACAGCAGTTAAACGTCTTGTCCTGTCCATAAGAAAGGCAAACGGTACAATATTTACAAAAGTGAATCAGTATATAGAGGAAATAATAAAGAATAAAGTTGCCGACACAAGTTATCCATTTCTTCTTGGTACATCTTCCCCCTACACAAATTTCATATCATAACAGCCATACAAAGTATCTTCTATTTGATCAAGTGTGTGAAAATATCATACTTTCTAAAATGGATGCCTCCAAGGGATTATGGGTATTGCCCATAATCCCTTTGGAGCAGCCATTTTGGATTTACATACACAGGGGCAGCCATTTTACAATTTGGGCAAACATTCTATCCCCCTTTACAAAGCGGTACACAATCCAAGTATCAGTAAAGGTGTTTTCAAAAGGTTACTAATTTCAATTTCATATTTTTTTCCACGGCCATCTCCAATACAATTCATTTATAGTGTGAATAAATACACCTTCCACCTACTATATACTGTTTCTCGGACAGAAACAAAAGCTTCTTTCACTCTCGCTTGCTAAGGAAAGTAAAAAGTGATATACAGTTCGGAAGACATCAAAATATCTGCACCATCTTAACTTGAAAGCAGTTTGTCGATTTGACCTTTGTTCTTATGTGAGGGTGAAATTTACAAAAGCAGCATGTGCTTGACACACTCAAATACTCAGACTTTCTATACTGCCATACTTCTTTTCCAAATTCCACAATTGGCAATGTGTGACAATATAGGAACTAAACTTCACTTTTTGAAGGTGGCAACTCTCCATATAGCAAGTTGATGAAATGAATATATATAATATATATAATGGGGTTACACTCAAAATACAGACCCTTAATTAAGACATTTTACTTAATTTTACAGTTCATCCTTAACTGTGGTTAGCAGACACACTATTTGAAGCTGTTGCTATACACAATTTTTCCTCGAGACATTTTGTCTTCTAAATTCTGTACTTTTTGAAGTTACAGAGCTAACTTGTTTAAAACCTAGTAGAAAAATGCCTTATTTCAACAAGTTGGTTTCAGTTGGGTACAAATTTGATCCACCATTTTCACACTAGCACTATTACAGATTTGATTATATATTCATACAAGATCTTTAACATGAAAGCAGGGAAAGTTGATACATAAAATACAGCCTACATAAATGCTCAAATTTTTCCTTGACTTGCTTGTGTTTCTTTGAAAACCCTCTACGTAATTTACATTTACTACTTTGTTGTGTGATCTTGCAGAAAAAGTTACCTGTTAACCACTGTCAGCCACTTTGTTCCTCTCAGGACCAGAGAAAACTACCACTTGTTTGATCAAAGGTCCTGATTGGTCAGCTGCTACTTACAAGGTTACCTTTGACCAATCAGATTACATTTTCCTTATTGGTCAGTTTCTACTTACAAGGTTACCTTTGACCAATCAGGATACATTTTTTGTCAGAGTGATTCTGATTGGCTCTGCCAAATGGGCAGTCAGCCAATCACTGCCTGTGTTCTAAATCCTTTAAGAAGGGAACTAGAAGTGAGAGTTTTAAAAAACTGCAGTAAGTAGCTTCCAGGGTCCCAAGTATCAGCGCTGGTGTTTAAAAGTTTCTGTACATCATTTGGCAAGGTTTCCTCTTACTACTGGCATGTATAAAATGTTTCTGTACACATGTATTGCCATAAGACTTGGTCAACAGTGGTGAACTGGGGTCAACTTCACTGAAGCTCCTACAAGCCGGTTCAAGGTTTAAACAGCACATGCACATGCAAAGCTGAAGGCCCCTGCGACATAAACAAAACACATCTGAACGATGTATCTAGCATGGTCTACACAAGAACTGTTTAAAAGATAGGGGGATTTACCTTTGACTGTGCACATGCACATTTTAAACCACGAACCAGGTTATTGTGATGACTACTTGGTTTTATACCACATTCCATAAGGGCAAGAAGTGGACAGATTGACCAATCTAGATTATTACACTATTTCACAAACCAATTTCTTACCCATACTTTAGCATACACTTCATTTTTGGTAGTACCGGCTTGTGTTGTATCTTGTATAAAACCTAATGTTAAAGAGAAAGTATTCAACACATATTTTGCTTGCACAACAATAAAAATGATGGAATGCGCATGTTGTGCAAGTAGTATTTTTACCACACTTCAGTTTGGACATGTGTTAGGAGTTGTTGATGGCACTGAGATACGTCCATGAAGTGAAATGGGGTGAAAACTACCAAAACCAAAATTTTGTGCAAAAAATGTTGCATACAGTTTGACTGCTGGATGCATGTGTTTCAAGTCATATGCTCAACCTCAACGTAGCTTTCTGGGCACAACTTACAAGATCTGTCCACTAACTCACCCTGTGGAAAATGGTTTTATTTGGCCAGCTTGCACATAGGATTTCTCTGTGTACTACATACATGTACCTACACATGGTGCAAAAGCTTCTGTTCTCCACAGGTCTGTCAAAAAATTAGCAAAGTCTTTCCCTTTGTTGTAGCAAAAATAGTGATTACATTTCTAGTAATTACAAGGGTTCCTACCCCCAATGATAGACATTAACTACCAGATACATCCACCCCCTCCCTTCCGATATAGAAACAGTATTCAAATAAGCTGGTTCACAGTTTGGACTGCACATGCACAACATGGTGCATTGTGGGTAATATGCCAAAGATGTACTACCCACAATGCATCTCCTTGTGCATGCACAGTTGTTACCATGAACTGACTTATTGCAATTTCCGGATGTACAGCAAAACTTCTTCAAAATATGCAGGCACAGGGAGTGTAAAATATCTGGTAGTTCAAGTTCATCTGACTAAATCACCACCCCCTCCTCCCGTTACATGGTGTACTCTCTGGAAAACTTAACAATGTCCCCTTTAAATCACTATTAACACAGTACTTGTTCATACCGGTTAGGATATTGTCTTCCACAGTGAGGTGTCTGTAGTGTTGCATAGGCAGAATATTTCTGTACATGTACTTTATTAGTTAGCTTTGTTCTTGTGAGGCTTGACTTCATCTTGCTTTCCATGTGTTAGTTTGTAAAAAAAAATCATCTTCAAAAGTTAAAAATCTAGGTCTGGACCAGTTTGAAAATTGCCAAAGAATACTGTGAAAAAATATTGTGGATTCAACTTAAAAGGAACTAAAATGATAGGTGGAAAAGCCTACTAAACTATGCTATAAAATGCATGAAAAAGTTTGTGATATACTTAGCATAGTTTAGTAGGCTTTTCAATCTAACCTTTTTAGTTTACTTGTAGAGGTGTAACTAGCATGCTTCCTTTGAGTGAAGGAAAACCAGAACACATCACACACATAGGTCTGTAATGCCACAGCATTACCACAATTCCCTCACACAATTCTTCTTTCTTCTTCTTCTTTCTTTGGCAAGTAACATTTCCCAATGCCATATCAGGACCATGCCTTCAAAATGATGTTGTGAGTTCACATATGTATGGAGGGCCTAAATTAACAAATTTAGGCTCTGTAACTGTGTGAAAGATGTCTCAAATGGCATGCTTACAGACCTCAGAAGTCCACAAAAGGACTTCATTTGACATTGAGTTTTGAATTTAAGTTCATGGTATTGTATTGTAATGTTTATAGCTGTGAGTGCAACAAAAAAAAAGGAGAAAAACATACTTTTCTAAAACGAAATTCATGACCATCCAGAGATTCAAAGCCACTCGTGACCATTTCTTTCCATGCTTATTTCTCTCATTTCTGGATCCACAAATCTACCAGCCAGCATTCTGGCAAAACCTCCTCATGCCTGTCTCTAACTTCTCTCCCTATCAAGCTACCTTTAGTAGCGAAAAATTGAACTGAAACAAAAAAATTCTGAAGAGCTCACAAGACTTCCACATGGAAAAACATTTTAAAGTCGGTTTCCTAATTTCCGTATAATTAATTGGATATGACAATCTCATTGGCTACCAGAGCCTAGACTATCTTCCTGGGCGCCGATATACCACCCTGTATACGGTATACACCATATCCTGGAGAGTACACCATGCAGTACGTTGTAAGAAAACCTGTATCTACAAACCCCCCTCCCTGCCCTTCCCCCGGTTGCGGTGCTATCTAAGAGACGTGGTGGTTTTGGGGCCTTAATACGGAGTAAACGTCGTCCACTTTGGCCAAGCCCTCCAGGAAGGGGATGAGGTCCAGGAGCTCAGTGTCTGACATGTCATCAAACCACGATGCTACGGGCACCTGGAGAGAGAGAAAAACAACAAAACAGACGTTTAGTAATTGGTTTAACCAGTCTAATTTATTTGTTCATGGTCAAGAATTACAGAATAACCCTAAAGAAATAAATATCAGAATGTAAATAAAGCCTGAAGGGGCTCAGTCATTTGTTATCTTCTTAACCTTTCTTTCAATGTTTCCTTCAAAACGTCTGAGAAACAAAGAAATCAAATGGTAAGGCCTATGCTACCGCATTGCAACCATTGCAACTGGCCATGGTGCTGAAGTGCCATCCAGCAGGTTGTGATAGAACTGCATGTATGATTTGGGACATGCCATGCTAACAATGTTTTCTTCGCAGAGCTTACAGTAGTGCTCTCTGACAGCTGTTTTGTTTGCTAACAAATGTAACCATTTCAGCAGGCCATGGTGCTGAAGTGCCATCTAGCTGGTTGTGGTAGAACTGCATGCAGCACTAGGGACTGGCACAATCCATACTAACAATACTGTCTTGTACAATGAAGTATGCAACATGGGAGTGGTTAAAGCTTATCACAGAGGATTAAAGAAGCATCTTGACTTACCGCATTGTCAGGGTGAAATATGTACGAAGCAGGAGAGTTATCTACAATTATAACCTTGCACAAGTCCCTGCCTAACCGACTGAGGTCCTGGAAAAGGGAAGACAAAAAACAGAACAGTTACAATGACTTTCATTTTTTCCTTAGCAGAGTGGTACCTGGGGAAAACATTCATGAGCCTCAGTATAGGGCTTTGCAAAGTCATCACACATTTATATGGTCAAGTTTCAAAACATGGGACCCATTCACTTCTTCAAACACATACTGGAAAAGACTGTCTAAACAACAGAAACTTTTCAGCAGTACATAGACTGGTCAGATGTCTAAATGCAGGAGAATTCCTTGATGGTAAATTTGTTTATCCAAACAAACAGTACAGAAAGATTTACATAGCTAAGACCATCTGCTTACCCAACCAGAATCCATTTTTGCAGTCCCCATTTGAACCAAAGTGTACATTGTGCAACCCATTTGTCTGCAGCAACCACTCCTTAAATAGTAACCATTTGTCTCAGTCCCCTGCGTGGTCACTGAGACTGTAACAGTTCAGTACGTACCTTTACATAGTTCCCCCTGTGGAAAACACAGGAGTCCCTGAACAGACGTGCCCTGAACACGCCCCACTTGTCCAGCAGGTCTGCTACAGGGTCTGCATACTGCACAAACAAACATAAACATCAAAATCCATAACATTTTAATACATTCTCAGAAGTTATCCCTGCCAAAGGAACCAATCTTAAAACTGAAGATTCTTCTTACAATAAGAAATCTGCCCATAAATTTGAGTGTTCAGGTGCAAAGAACGACATTGAGAAGTGGCGTACGAAGATCATTACAGTGAATGGCGAAAATGAGCTAAGAAATGCCAGAAAAAGTCAATATCAGACAGACTTTCTAATCCAAAATATTATTTTGTTTTGATGCCCTGAAATTGCATTGGATGTTTTAAGTTGGATAGTGAGAGAGTGTGATGTGCCTCAGGCTCTTACCTTTGCCAGACTGGCTGTGAACAGCACACACTCAAACATTTCTCCCATCTTCTGGAGAAACTCATCCACATACGGCCTCTTCAGTACATAAACCTGTGCACAAAACAACAAATCAGACACAGATGTTTGTCCAGAATGATTTTCAAAGTAAAGCTTCCAGATTTTCACTTATTCTGATATTTCTAATATTTCACTTATTGACTACCATAGTGTAGCATTGGGGGCTGCCTAGCCCGTGTTACACAATCTCGCACTGTCAGGGGCTACTCGAGCATGCTTCTTGAACAGTGGTGATTTAGCCAGGCTTGGGGTCGGTTATTTCAGCAATGTTGTTCACAGCATCATTTCCTCCTTAGAGACATCCCTGAAGACGTCTTATCAACTGTTACCACAAATATGGTAACCAAATCCAGGGATGATGGGGCTTTCCTGATCACATATCTTTGTGGTTTGAAAACATCAGGGAGCACAATGTTTGGGTGGTCAGTCGCCATTAAAAAACAAGAAACTGGAGATTCCAGACTTCCATGAAGAATTTATTGGAACAACTGAGGATAATAGAACACGAACTGTGCAGGGTCAGAGTTTCGCCCATTCGATCCTCAGCTTCCTGAATTCCCTGTTGTCGATTCTCTAATTCCTACAGGCAAACAAACATATGACTTACCTGATGTACTGTTCCATCAATTTCAACAGGAACTATAAAATCTGCATTGGTGACAGGCTGGGAAGATATAGCAGTGAACACTTGAGTAAGTCAACGAGTATATTATGTCTGTATAATACATGTCTCCATACAAATACAAATATAATCTATATCATACAGCAGTGATACCAATGTAACATTTAGCATGATGGTAAAAAATGTATGTATCATAGAAAAGATTATAACATCTAGTGGAACCATTACATATAGTTCATTAAATAAACTGCTACAGCACGACCTAGATTGAATATCTACTTGCAAATTGCTTCAAAGTCGTGCCTGTCAAATGATTAAAGCTTTTTCATTGCTTTATACCTCCTCCGACTCCTTTTGATTTGGTTACGGGATGATAGGCACCTCAGATCATTAACAGGGAATATTGTACGGGTGTTTGCACAACAGAGAGCAGCTGCTACTTGCTTGTGTTTATCCCCTAATATGGTCGTACAGTCTGATGCAGTCTACAGGAAGATAACTCAATTATCCCCAATCTTGTTTCCATTGGTGCTGAGCCAATTAAATTGTAACCCTTTGAAGTGAGGTGAAGACTTTTGAGCGCAAGGAGTCTGTTAGAAAGGTGGAAATGGAGGTGTGGGAATCCAGGGCTTGAAATATTTTTTTTCTGCATGCTTACACTGGTGCAGATAATTACCTGCACCAGACAAGTTTTACCACCATCCAGTATTGTAGGTTGTGAATTTGATGCTGTAGAATTTCCTAGCTGAGTGGGTGTGATGGAATCAACCCTTGACAAGGATCTAAAATAGCTTTTTATGTGACAAGAATGCCCACTGAGCTTATGATCATATGATGATCACATGTTGTACATGTAAAGCCCTTGTCACACATTCAGAACATTCCCTATAACACCAGCCGACCAAGGTTGGCTGAAGTTCGAGAGCAGACTGACCTGATTCAGGCCACGCCTAACTTTTGATACAAATCAAGTCAAATTTGAGCTAAATGTGAGTCAAACTTCCCTCCTAACCATGCCCCAAACACTACTTCTCCAAAATGTTTTAAAAATGTTTAAATATCCAGCCATTTGAGACCTTGCTCCCAACCTACTCCTAACTATGCTTGGAGAAAGTTTGGCAGTGTTCAGGAGGCAATATTCAGCTATGGGTAACAGGGGCTAAGGCCAGCTAAAATCTATCACACAATGTACATATTATAAGTGCCAGGTGAAACCTAGAAGACAGTTACCTTGAAGGAGCTATGCACCAGGGTTTCATCCAGGTCGATGACGATGCATTTCTTGTGCATATCCTGGTGACGCACCGGCGGCAGCAAATACTTCTGTGGGACCTGCGGAAAACACAAGTTTATTTGTTTGCTTGTTTGTTGGAGACTTTGTTTATTCATGCAATACTCATATCGGCCTGCCGGCCGATTTTCATTGAGGTCAGGAGGGAAGAGGTTAGGGTCAGACCAATATGGTAAGAAAATAATGTTTTAAGGAAATGTTTGTCCTGGAAAAATATATGCTTTTACTCTTTTTTTTTTTACGGTGCAGCCTTGAATCTTATTATCTTCTTATTACAGCTTTGGCTCAAGTCACAGTTTTGTCAGACTGTCTCCCAAAATGACTGGAAACTTCGTGAAAACATTTTAAAGAAATTTCATTAGAGCTTATTGTAGTTTCAAGACAAAAAGAAACTTGGATGGAAAAAGCAAAAAAAGGAATACTCCCCAGAATTAGCATTTTTTGAGCTAAAAAAAGAGGTCATAATGTACAATTTGGTGATATTACAGTTTTGCAGATATTAATATAAATGCATTTTATTTTCACAATGGTTTTATTTTAGTGGTAGAAGGGAGGAGGTGTTTGTGGTGTTTGAAGTTTGCAGTTAACTGTTAAAACAATTCTGTCCCACAGTAGAATTACAAAAAAAGTATGTGTCATGACATGTGTCATGTTTTCGGTGAGAGGACACTGCAAACATGGGGAAAATAAAACCACAGCGAACATTTCGAGCTTTACAGTACCTCATTGAACTGGAAATTGGTGTTTTCCTTTGTGGCAGAAAAATGGAAAAAGTTTGCATGGTTTTGAGTTAGCAGACAGTGTGGTCATTCTTTCAACCATATATTCAACATGTTACCTCATAGGACTAGACTATTCCATTCAAATGGATCAGGAGGGATGGTCAGGGTAGAAGGAAAGGGTAGATGGTCAATGATAACTTGCACTTCATTACATGAAGGGAAAGACCAATGAAAAGAAAAAGGATAAAGAAATGTTCATGACTACCCCTCCTGACTTTTCTAAATGGAATAATCTTAAATTAGACTTCTTCACACTTAAATTTCCTTTTTTATTGTCATGGAAAAAGATGGACAGAAAAGATGCTCCCCAACCCATATCTTTATTATTTTATTACTTATTGACTTTTCCTCATATCAACATTCACATTCATACACATACACATTTATAAATATTGCAAGTAACCAGTATGAGATGTGCACTAATTTAGGTGTGCATTTCTGAGGGAAAATACGGTAGATTTTGCCAGTGGTTGCGTGCAGCGTCCTAGATGCCAAATTACTGCTGTAGCTGTGATCTTTGATTTTGTTTAATGAGACATGCAATTATCGCTCCAGTTGTTAATGGAGCAAGAATGGGAAAGTGCACTGAGAAAAACAGAGCATGTAGGTAGAGCTGAGTACCTACACAAGTAAATGGCAGTGTAATCTGTAAGTCAATGTGTCGGCAGAACGTATACTACTGTACCTGCGCAAAACCCATAATGTATTGTGCACAGCACGCAGTATGTCTTGCTTAAGGTTGCATATCTACCATCCTGTCTATGGTTTCCAAGTGTTATGTTGGAAAAGATATTGTCTGCAATGGGCAAAGTCTGATGCAACGTTGACCAAACATCCAAATGAAAACCGTGAAAAACCTGGGTTTCGTGCAGGCGCAGTACGTTCCGCCAATTCTCTTATGCATGTCAGCAAACTGTATTCTTTGGTGGTCAATTGTTCTCTTTCTATTACTTTACATATACCAATCTAAAAACAAGTTTTCCTTATTTTCGAGTGCTTAATTGTCCAAATTGTCATCTTTGAGATTTAATTTCAGTGTGTTTTCTTTTGATACACTCAAGTTCAAACCTGAACCTACATAATTTTTCAGTTACAGGTAACTGGTTTCAGAGACAGAGACCTAGACCTGGGCTGGGAACTGTTGAAGCAATGATCAACGCTCACCTTCGCGCTGCCATTTTCCTCAGGTTGGCCGGGAGTGGCAGGGGTGTGGCTACTGTTGGCCCGGAAACAGCACAGGAGGGACCCGAAGATGCTGCGGTGGCGTTTCTTAGCAACTGTTGTCACGGGAGCGGCTGTTGGGATAAACAAAAACAACATTAGAACTCAAAACCTGATCAGAATCACGTAGAGACCACAGTTGGACAGAGGTCTTGTTTTCAGTGTCTGTTTGTGTGTTTGCTTGTGTTTCCATCATAATTTCCACATGCTAGTAGGCATATTGGGGACGCTGACAGAGCGGTAGGTCAAAGGTCCCAGAAATTCTCAGAAAAGGTTATCTCATTTCCTGTCTTCAAATTTTCTGCTATATGCATGTCTGTTGCCTAATGTGACAGCCATTGTGAAAGTACATATAGACAGAATCAGCAGTGAATTCACAATAATGAATGAAACAAGAAATTCACCAAAACATTTCACATCTAGGTATGAAATCTTGGATTTCTAGTTTAGAAACCCCAAACTGTCTATTATAATAAATATCCACGCAACATGTAATGAAGAATATATGGGCAAGGCTCCAGTGTGCTCGTTATTAAAGAATCCTATGATTTATGGACACTTTTGTATTACGACACCTCAAAACGATCCAAACTCGCTGCCATAGAAGCATCCATTTAGTCACTAGCGGACAACAGATGCCCCAATTGTCGGCCACCGTTTAGACAAATTGGGACAACCTGACGCACTGCAACATAGTGACGTTACACTGGTTGTTACTCATACTAATTACACAATCCGTCTTTTCCCCTGGCTTTGAACAACATTCTATCATGTCTTTCTGTCAAGTATGATTTAGTAAAATATAACAAACTAAGAAAGTTACATCTGTTTAGAGGAATGGATTTTAAAATGTCGAAATTGTGACAAAAAAATGGAAAACTGGATCCATGCAAATCTAGACTTGCAAGAAAATATACCGGACATTTTTAAAGCCTGTACGCAAAAAATATTCTATCAGTCATTGTTTATCTACAATTAGCTATGACAAGTAAAATATGTATTATAAAATATAAGGTCCTCTTTTTATCTGACGGCAATCACTGAAAGAGCATTGAATTTGAGCAACCACAAATTTACTATATTTCTCTTATGTGAAAAGGGTCTGAAGTAGGCCTGCTTTAGACTGATGATGGTGCTATACACAATACATTGTGGCCTTGGCAAAGGCACAGTAGTACGTTCTGCTGAAATGCTATCCTAGCTAAGCATCCCTGGGCTTTCTTGAAATGACTTACAAGTAAGCATCAGCATCCTATACGACCAGATGTGGCCAGAATCTTTACGATGCACTTGTCGTTGAAATTCAGTGTACGATTATTGATTTTTCAAACGTGAAATTATGGATTTCCTTCTGCAGTTAATTGGACATGGTTGACCACTTGGTAACATTTCCTTCAAGCATAGAGTGATAATAAAAATCATATCCATATTCAATAATTCATCCTAAGTGGTACCAAATCATATTTCTGTGCTAACGTCAAAATATAAATACTGATATTAATTAGTCACATTAACTACAAAAAACTGTTAAAAGTCACAAATTTACACCCGATTCAAGGATTCTAACATCTTTTTGATCCATATATATTCGATTTCCCTCTTTCCAGTCTATCCTACCAAATGTTGAATTTACGTCGACCCAAAAACCGTCTAGCAGACAAAAAGATATAAAACATATGCTCAAAGCTATCAATATTTCCAAAGCCCTTGTGACATCTACTATCAGGAAAGTGTCAATCATCCACTTTGTTTTATAGCCAAATTGTCGGAGACCTGATAGAATAATGATACCCCGGCCCCTGCAATTTTGATCCTTATGTAAGAGGTTATTTTTCATAGTAGGCCATGTTAGGAATACAGATCAGATACCTCACGTATCTGATGCCCTTCCCAGCCAGAAATTGTATTACTGTAAAACTTGAAATGTTTGTAGCAAATAAATATACGTATCATTTTCTACCGTAACAACATAGCAATTTCTGTAATATTGCATTTGATGTAACCATCATCTTTAAACTAGGTACCAGTGGCAAAAAGCTCAGGTGGCAAAATCAACTTGTTTCCAGGTAAGGGTAAAGCTTATGGGTGGGGGCAGACAGCTTTTATGACGGCCCAATGTGAAAAAAGGGATAATCTTTAGCCATGCTTTAAGCTTACAAATATACAATCATTACCTACCATAAACTGACAATATTTTTGGCAATGCAGGTACAAGTACAAGCTAAACACAATGCCCACAACTACAAGCTAGTTCACGGTTTAAACTGCGTATGAGCAAGGTCAAAGGTGAAGGTTCTTTGACAGTTATGTGCGAGGTCAAAGGTGAAGGCAATTTGACAGTTCTTGTCTAGACAATGCTTAATACCATGTGCAAAGATACTTTGTTTATGTCTTTGGGGTCTTCAATTTGCGACACATATTACATGCATCACACTGCACATGCACAGTCTAAACCGTGAACCAGCTTTTAAAAAAAGGCACATTACGGGAAGCAACGGGACGAGAGCGCGGATGACTTAATCAGAATCCCAACCAACCTGCGTGATGGCTGAGAAACTGGTCCCTTCTTCCCGTTCCAACTGTAAGTGACAAAAGAACCAACAGCGTTTACTTTCAGACAGAACAAAGACTTTTGTCACAATTTTCTGTGTTGTCATTTGGTGAAAGTGACCTCTTCCTGCTATAGGTGTTTCTGTGGAAATAATCCACAAGCAAGACACTGACAGGAAGTTAGGTCAAAGGTTCCAGAAAAGGTAATCTCATGTCTTCATGCCATATGGGACATTGAACCAGTTTAGCTCAAGTGAAACAGTTGAGCTACTCTTCCACCGGTAGTGACAGAGAAGACAGAGGCAATGTATAAATATATACTGAGCATGTACAAGCTTATTCAGTCATTGTACCACGGAAATCCCCAAGCTCTTTTTATAAAGTAGAACAGTGGACTAGGATTTAACATTCTATTTTAGCCTTAAGGACTGTGACCCTTTCCAGTAGCATGCATGTCGGGTGAGCAACAATAGCCAGGATTCGAACACACAAACTCTTGGTCGAGAGGCAGGGTCACTAACTACTGGACACACTAAATTACTGTGATTCAAAAGATTTCAAATTGGAAAAAAACATCTTTCAGAAAGGCATTTTTCTTGTCCAACTGGAAATACACAATGGAAATCCACATGCATAACTATAAAAATGAAAATATGGGCATGCAAGAATCCACATTCCCTAGAAAAATATCCAATATACATGTATTATATACAACCTGCATAACACAGAAGTGCAGAAAGCGGCATCGTGATTTCAGCAATCCTTTGTCACAAATGATACGCAATAAAAGCATCGCCTTTTTTTATGGGCTATGACTAACAGATGATTCATATCGTTTCATCTACATCCAGCCTGGAATTTTTAGAGCAGAAAAATTGATATCTGAATATTTTACCTGCTACTTCACTTTTACCCTGCAAATTTCAGTTTTTTTCCTAGTTTAAAATGATACATAGTTTAAAATACTTATGTTTCAACATGGTACAAAAATTGGGTCCATAATTCCCACCTTATTCAAAATCAATAACAGGATATCCATGATTGATGTGTTACTTAAGGAGAAGCTTGTCCTTTTTAAGTTGTCTTGAGATACTCATCTTAAGGAGATCCTGAGGGGATAGTCTGACATGTTTCTGCCAAACCTTATTCCTTGTCTTACAGGAGGCCATAAAATATTCACGACCTTCCCTTCAGGGGTAATCACAGTAAGCATCTCTATGGTTATTAGGTTTGATGGTCTGACTTAAACCTTAAGGGCTGGAAATGCCCTTAATTGTCAGCAGTTTATTACATGTAGACATACATGTTAATGTCTTTACCTTTGTGTATGGAGTTTTAATTTTTGGTGTATGTTTGCTTGTGTTTCTGTGGATATTGTCCAAGGCACTGACAAGAAGTTAGGTCAAAGGTACCAGGAAAGGTTATCTAATTGCTTGTCTTCCTGCTATATGTATGTTTGCTACAACATGGCAGCCAGTGGAAAAATGCAAAATCAACATGAAATTCACAATGATTGATAAAGCAACAAATTCACTAAAATGTTGAATATAAATTAATTATTTCTTCATTCCCATTATAATTTTTTCTACTTAAACTTTAGAGTACACTGCTTTGGGAATGTGAAACATTGTTGAAATTTCTTCTCAGAATTTGATAATTATGTAGTCTTACTCTTAGTAGATATTTTGGTACAGGAAGAAGGGAACACTATCAAATAAAGGTACAAAACGTTTTAATTAACATTTTATCCACAAAAATATTTCTAAAATTCTACCAACTTCAAGAAGGGGTTATTTAAGGATAATACAAAGTTAGAACCATAATTTCTATTCCTAGATATTGTATTTTTGTCAGCATTAGTCATCAGGCATAACCACCCTTTTCCGTGACTCAACTGACAATGGTTCGCCCGCTATTTTTAGCGTAGCTTCCCTGGTAGATAGATAGATTTTCTCTGCGTTTGCCAATAGGTTGTTAGGAGTAAAAATAGCTTGGGGTGAATTCCAATGGCATACAGTTCACTCGGCCTGGAATACTGTGCAACATTGGATATATAATTCAAGACTCGAAATTCAATTTGGAGGATGGGCGCACCTAACCTCAGCGTTCAAAATCCTTTTTTTTCCTTGCATACCAGCATTGGAAATAACCTGCACCAGGCAAATTTCACCTGCACCCCTTTATATTGAAGTAGATTTTATGGAGTATGGATCAAGCTAGAAAATGATAAGGAATTTTTGAATTATTTATCTAGAATTTTGTAGGTGGTAATAAACCTTACAGAATACAAAAATCCAGAAACACTTATGTACCCGATATAGGGATGGTGCAGGTCAGGTGCAGAGATACCTGCACAGCTCCCATTTTACCTGCACTAACCTGCATATGCAGGTGGTATTTTGAGTCCTGGAAGCTAACAATTAAGTGCACAGGATAAATTTTGGGTCGTCAGCAAACCCTAATTTCAAACCTTACTGCCTTACTTCAGAACTCGAATCTGAAATTCTGGAGCAAACTTCAAAACCTATGGCCACAGGTGGTACCTGGCAATTGAGAACACCTTAATGAAAGAAGAATCCCTCTATCTTCTACCTTAATGCCCGACCTTAACGCACCTTAAGGGAAGAACTATGACGTCCAGAATTAACGGAAAAATCTCCACCAAATAACCCACACACACTATTTCTACTTTCTCTTTTTCCCATTAAGTCCTGTAATGCTATTAATTTGAAAATCCGTAAATCAATTATGTTGGTATCTAGGAGATAAAACCATGAGCAAAGTAATTGCTTCATTTTTTTCATTTTACTGGTACAAAAAAAAATGTATTTCGGTATTGTATCTTTTTAATTAAGGTACGATGTTCCAGCTTGCAATGGCAGGCAAGGTGTTATGCTGTGATATAGGACAGAATAACCTTCATTTCACATTAGGACACAGAAAGGACAGATAAGGTGTACCGGTAATCAAATTATATCTTTGCACAAAAGAAGCTACAGACCAGACATAATAACATTCACAGCTTTCTGATATAGCGAGGGCCATTTTGGTCCCAGAGAGCATTTTGGTGCTTATTCCCTCAGGAATTTCACATCTGATGTCTTTTCTATTCAGTTCGGTAATCACCTGATAACTAAAAAAGATGTTAAATTTCACCTTCTTGGAGATTTTTTTCTCTTCAAATAAATAATAGTAAAATTTACCCCTTTGACATCACAGCTATGTGACATTCAGCTAACCTTCCCCTCAGCAATGTCATGAGAACAAGGATGGCAAGCCTCAAATGAGCTTTATCTTTCATGGACGTCCCTCACAAATTCTTAGGCACTAGAAACATATATTCTATTCAAAATCTTGAGATCCATGCGTCAAATAATATGTCAAATATTGTTACGTCCTACAAAAAAAAATACATAGCGATGACCCCAAATGAGCAAAAATTTTCTTATACGTTTCTCTAGTCGTCATATTTCTTTCATGGCATTTGAAAATATAATTATCTTCAATACATCATAAAATAATTGGGATATTTTCTATTGTGGTTGTGTGGGTAGAACAATTATTTCCTCCCAACCATCACTTCCTGCCAACTTGACCTTAAGGTCAATCTACAGTAACCAAAGCTCCCCCCCCCATCCTGCTATTCTTCTCGCTCCAAAATTTTCTGTCTTCTCAGTAGACATTATAAAAAAATCAATAATGTTTGCTATTTTTTTACTACCCAGACCTGCTGGAAGAGTCCACTCTTGATAGAGGGGACAAGCAGTCTGCTGTAGTCGCCAAACTCGCTTCCATCAATATTCATTATTTCCTATCAGTGGCTCGATCCTATAATCACCCTTCCTTACCAGCACACGCTATCATGTCTGGACATCTATAACATTGAGGGAGAATGGCTAAGGTCGTTTCCTCCTCAGTATCTAGCAACTCCCCTTCTTACCTTAGCAAGGGTAGGCTGTGAATGATAATATTGCTGTAGATTGGTACAAGAAATATGCATCTAATGCTCAGGTGTATTCGGTATGTTAGTTTGTAGCTATTTGAACACCAAGAATTCCCTTACCCCAAATTTTCGGCTGACTCCATCAACCTTGTTCACGGAATGGACCCATCTAGATCTACTCTTGGAACATTTGACCATCGAGAATATGTACTGGTATATAAGTGTATCTTTACATATGTAACCCAACATAAATATCTATAGTTAAAAATTTGGTGCATAGCTCAAATACTGGGTGCACAAAAATGCTTATGTTCTCAGCATTTTGTGCCCTGGAACCATAATAACTATTTTATGAAGAAGAAACACTGTGTCTGAAAAAAATGGCTAGACAAAGTCAATCCACTTTCCAAGGATGATACTAACGATCTTGAGCGTTATCACTCAACTCCAAGGACAACAGTCCAACCATATCAGACCATCATTGAACTTTGCAGTGGTTGCCTGGATACAAAATGGCAGTGAAAATTGTTATTGGTCTTGTGGGTGTGATACAGGCTTAGTGTGATGTCATAGCCTAACCACGAGGGACTGGAACAGACAGGAGGGCCAAATGATAAATCAATGATGCAATCGGGAAACATAAAAATCTCCAGGTCCACTCGTTAAATGTAACTCCACAAGGTTATACCTTAAGAAAACAGTTACTCAAGGAACTGGATTTTCACAATCAAAATCTATCCGGTTGCTTGAGTAACCATTTTCTTGTACAGTATATCGCAAAATCTGTAATGTGTTGTATAGCACTTGTATGTATGGCACTTCGGCAGAATGTCTCAATTTTTTATGTCATTGTGTCAAAAGACCTTCATGACCATTGTAGCACAGTGAACATAGCAAACTGTGTTAGAAATGGACCCCGGGTTCATACATATATGAAAAGTCAAGTTCAAATATTCCGAATACCTAATGTCCCATTCTGTGCCAAGTTTAAGGGGAGATATCTATATAACACACCATGAAAATAGTCAATGGGAACTGGCCATTTTTCAATTCAAACACATACATGTACACCTTCATGCACATCTA